TTTTAAAAAAATGTAAAAATAGGCTGTTTCTATTGTTTGCACCCCATATGTTTGAGTCTTTATTCTTCATATATAATTTAAAAACAAGCTTTTCTTTGTAAAAACTTTAATTAAATTTCAATAAAGTTAAAGGCATGGCCTCATCATTAATATTTAAAAAAAAAATAAAATAAATAACATGCTTAGCTATTTGTTATATAAGAGATTATATTTTCATATAGAGATACTCTTAAATTAATATAAATATTTATATAATAATCTATATACAATAGTATCCTATTAGTCAATCAAAAGGATTTTTCATTATGCTATTAGGCCATCTAAATTGGTAGTCTAAGAAATCTTATTAGTTCTGGATAGCAGTTAATAAAGAATAATAAAGAAAATATTATAAAGATAAATATTAAAATTTAAATAAACTTTACAAGAATATAACAGTTAAATAATTAACTCTAACTGCAAGTGCTAGTTTAAACAAAAGCAGTATTAGGTTAACTGTAAGTATGAGATATAAAAAGCTCTAGTAGGTTTAATACAAAGTTAAACATAACTTAGTAACTATGACATATTTGTACTAAAATACAATTGATAAAGTAAGAATAAATACAAGAATTAGAGTATTTAAATAGAGAACCTATTTTAGATATAATAACTAGTATAGAACCTTTAGGCAGAGCAGTAATATTATAAATGCATATAGTTTTAGTATGTTTAGACTAGTCAAATTAAACAATAACTAAAATTATATGAGTGATTAGTTATATACTTTTTTTATAATTGCTTTTATAGTTATTATACAAATAGTAACAAATTAAATACTATTAATAAGAAGTATAATAATCTAGTAAAATAGTCAGATTGTCAATCCTTCAAGTAATAAGTTGGATGTTCAAATTTAAGCCACCAGAATGAACTAAAAGAAAAGGATATTAAATTGATCTAATATACTGATGGACTGGTTATAATCTTATATAGACTATCTGGATTGAAAGTTTGGCAAAATTTAAAGGTATACTAAACTACTGAGGTTATGCTGTAAAGTAGATGTTAAAGTCTAAATGAACTTTATAAGAGCATAGCAGTTTAATAGTTAAATTATAATTGCAAATATTAATTCTGCTATAGCAATATTTAGATCAACTATAAAAATAGATACAAAAGGCTCTAAGAGGTTTACTTTGAATATAAAATAGTTCTAGAATTAAAACAATAATCTGAGCATCTGGGTATAACTCAGTGAGTTAATACAGATTACAGATTCAGAGAATTTAAAGTGGAACATCTAAGCAGGAGTATTAGATATGACAATTAATAAGGAACCTTTAGGTGAACTCCTTAAATAAATAATATTAAAAAATTGCACATATAACCAATTGTATACTTTTCTGTAATAGTTCATAAAATCACATTACCAAAAGTTATTAATAAAAGTCAAAAGACCAAAAAAGTTACTTTAACACCAAAAAAAAAAATACTATTAATAAACTCCTAAGTTGTATGTACTTATCTTAATATTAAAAAAAATTTTATTATAAATAAAAAATATCAAAAAAAATTAGATTTTATATAATTAAAAATTAATAAGTACTTACAAAACAAATAAAAAAATATATAATAATAATTTTAGTATGAAATACAAATTAAAAAAAAATCAATCTTAAATAATTTTGAAACTTATAAAGAATTAGAATAAAAAAAAAAGAATTCATATTTTTGAAAACTATTATTTTATCAAAAAAATTATTAGAAATAAATAATATAATAAATATATTTATAAAAAGATTAAACTATTTTTATTTGTTTTTTAAATATTATTTTATAATTAAAAAAAATTCAAAAGTAAATAATTTTGCTTATTTTAGATATTTATAGATTTATAACTAGTTATAATCCTAAATTATAATTTGTTAAGTAAGATAATAAAAGTTTTAATAAAATAGTTAAATTATTAAAAAGATATAACAAATTATAAAGTAATAAAAATTTTGGTTTTGAAAAGAATAATTAAGAAAAAAGATTTTAATTAAAAAAAAAAATACTATAAACTATACAATAAATTTATAATTTAATCAATAAGTACTATTATTAACTAGTTTAATAATTATACAAAAATTATAAAATTATCCTATTCCTAAATTCAAATTTTCAAATATAATGCTAAAGAATAAAATCAGACCAAGACTGTTTATTTGATGCTAATATAATCATATTTCAGATTTAGAATATTTTTGTAATATAAAACAAGAGAACTTAGAAATTACAAAATTACTAAATGCATTGAAGAGTATATGTCAAAAACATATAAAAATTGTGAATTTATAAAAAGCAATTTCAATAGATTAAAAATGTTCAAATATAATTTATATAATTTAAAAATGAATAGAAACATAAATGATGTTAGGAAAATCTTGCTCAAACATTTGATAAAGAGTCAGGTTCATGCCTGGCTTTGAGACTTGAACCTATATAGAATAAAATATAAATAGTAAAAACTAACTTTATTATTATTATTAGATTCAATTTCAAAGTAATCACATTATTTTCCAATAACTCAGAAAAATCTTTAAATTATATATTTTTTAGAGGTTTTTTTTTCTTTTAAAAATTTTTTGAATTAATTTTTATGTATTCGCATACTTAATATGTAAAACAAGGGAAGATTAGCAGCTTATTATATCTATTCATTATGTATATATATAAATATAAATATTATAATTTGCTATTATGTGAAAAGACAATGTTTGATAATGTTTAATACTGTATACTGTACGTTGTAGCACATTTTTATATTATATTAAATTGATACCAAAATGAAATTATTTAATTACCTCACCGTTAATATTTAAAAAAAAAGAAATTATTTAATTATATTAACTATACATTTATACAAATTTATTAATTTTCACCAATAATGTTAAAAAAAAAAAAATTTATTAAATACCCTTATTAATTATTGAATCTAACATTATTTGATTACTTCTATGCCTATTGTATACGTAGTACAAGTTACTTTTGAACTTTTTTAGGAATTTTCCTAAATACTTTAATTTGATTAAGAAATAAGCTTGCTTAATTTTTATAAGCTCTAATTATAAAAATTTAAAAAAGAATTGGACCGATGTCTTAAAAAAAGAAACTATGGATAATAAGGTTTATTATAATATAAATTAAATTCATTTATAACGATAATAAAAATTTGACTTTTCTTAAAGCGTAAAGTTTCAATATTTACTATTACTATGGTTATAAAAAAATTCAGTGACTTTTGTCAGGGTAGTGTACGTACAGAAAAAAATTCACATTGCCTAATTAAATAAAAAAAAACTCAAGTTTTCCTAAAAATGCTGTTTAGCCCTTTCTTTCGTATTGGTTGCATCACCTTTCATCGTCATCTTCAGTCATTTTGTCTTTTTTGTAGCAAAAAATATATTATTCAAAAGATGCCAATCGATTTGAGAAACTTCTCTAAAAGAACTCAAGAAATTATTCATGAGTGGGCTAACATTGTGCTAATACTGAGGATGAAGAAGATGAACTTTATTGATTATCAGTAGATGAAACGTACCGTCGGTGAGTCGTACTGTCGGTGAATTGTACTGTCCGGTGAATTGATTTTCGGTGAAATGAACCAGATCTGTGATGTTTGTGGAAATGGCTGGGACCCCATTTTTTATAGAACGAGGAATTTGTGTTTTGATCGACTCAACTAATCTTAATTGAGTTGACTCGACTCTCTGGCTCAACACGAGTCATGCAATCTACCCTAATTTGATTATAAAGATGCCTAGTCATGTTTTTTCACCTTTTTTTTTTTTTTTAAAAAAAAAAAAATTATACTATATGTATATTATTCGTTCACAGGTTTACTTGGTATGATCGGGTTACGACAATAGCATATGGGATTGAACCTACCAAAAACAAGGGTGGGGGCTGAAGACAAAGAAATTCGACCTGTATACGAATATCAGACTAGTTTTATCCAAGGATGACAATCACGATTTTGGGCGCTCAAAAACATGCAAGAACATGTGTTAAAAGATTTATTTGGCTTACAATAAATTTAATATATTTCTATATCGATATATTATATCGATTAGATCCTCCGGAATTGTTACGTAATGTTTTCCGAGATATTCGTTGATTGTTCCACAGAACTTAGACAATGGTAAAACGTATAGTACATACGGCATTTCCTCTGATTGGTTAGGATCTGGAAACTTGGGGAGAATAGTATGCAAGTACATTCTAAAAATGAGGGATAGGAACATTTACTGTTCGCACACTTGATGAACAAGTCCGATGCATTGCATATCGCACCTGTAAAACTGGATCGGGTATTCGGTAATTGTCAATCAATGTACGTGACTGATTATATATCAGATATATCAGATACGTGTAAGGGCCAAACCGTGTACGGGCCAATCAAATTTAGTAAAATATAAACTCATTATAAATTACACGCACGTACTTAACCAAGTTGTTTATCGGTAGTGTAAAACAAAAAAACTCAGCATTAGCGAATGGTGTTACCATGTGACCATAATGAAAATTCCCATCGTGTAGCATAAGGTTTCTAAAAAAAGAACCAATGATCATAAGACGCAGGGTTTTATGGAAGATCAATTTTGTGATATAATAACAGTGTGACACTAACCAGTATCAATTCAAAAAAAAGTTTTTCTTTTTTAGGTGAGTAAAAAAAAAATATATATATTTTATATATATTATAGTTAAATGTTATTGTTCTAGATCAAGTAGAGCAAGTCTATTAGATAGATCAAAAGGACATATAAATGTGTATATATAGTCCTTGGGGACAAGTGCAAAGTATCTAAAAAAAAAGACAATCAGCTATTTTAAATAACAATATTTTGTCGCCAACTATAAATATCTAGGCGGACCGCATCATACATTTATAGAACTTCTACAATCAGCATAATTAAATATCAAATTATATACGTACAAGAACCTCCTAGTAACAATACGGACCGACATTTAATATGGCTGCTTCTCTTCCTGACCTTTGCCTTAAATCAATATTCAAAGATTTGGATGATGATTTAAAGTCGCAATATTCCTTCATCTTGATTAATCGTCATTGGTGTCTTTCAGTGATCTCTGAATTATGGCGAAATCCTTTTGATTCTTGCAATAAAAAAGATCAAAATGTAAAAATAATAGATACTTATCTTAAATGCTTACCTCAAGATATGCGAGACGAAATTGGTGTTCAATCAATTAAATCATTAACAGAGGCTACTTTTGATTACCCAAGTTTTCTACGCTATATCAATGATACAAGTATTTTTTATAGTGCTAAATATTGGGCTGCTGAAATATTCCCTGATGACTTTGAAATTCAATCGAATGTAGCTCATAAAATACAAGAGTTATTATGTCGACATTTTATATCTTGCTCAACAACAATAAAAGGAATTACTGTGGATTGTGAACACAACATAAACATCTTTGATCTTCCTGGCGCCACAAAAAGTCTATCCAAACTTGAAATATTCAATTGTAGAATATTTAGAACTGCCGGTTGTTTACCTGAAATTTTAGATTCCGCCTTCGAAATTTCTAAAAATGTTCAAAATTTGGATATTTGGTTAAGCTCAGAAGAAAATATGGGTACAACTATCAACAAAATGTCAAAATTTATTGAATGCCAACGTAATTTAAAAGTGATCTTAATCGGTTCATCTGAAGATGATTTTCCGATTCTTTGGCAGAGTACATTAACTCATGTAGATACTTTGGTCCATATTCAAATCAGTTCTATCATATTTAACCCTTCACCTTTCCAACTTTATGATTTGGCTTCGTTCAAAAATCTGGAAACCTTGGAAATAGAATATTGTGATAATTTCATTTTTTCTAATTATGGCAAAATGGTTTCATCGGCTTTTCAAAAAATGAAACGAATATCGTTAAAGACTTGTAGAGATTTTCCTTCTCATTTCATAGAGGCCCTTTTTTCTCAAGCTAAAGAAAACATGCTTCAAGTAGAATTATTTGGTCTTGAAGATTACGAATCAATTTTTCAATCATGTATAAAATATTGTAAGAAAATTACAAGATTTCACGGTTCAATTGTAATTCAACAAACTTCTCTTCTTCTTGAAATGTTAAAAACTTGTAAAGATCTTCAAGATATCCTTATTGAAGATTTATCTCACGAACCTGAACGTGGATGTACATCGATCACATTATTCGATGCTAATAATTTCATACGAAAACTCGGTGAAGCCATGCCAGAGAATGTACATATGCTGACTTTAAAGATAAATTGGGTATTTTCGTCAAAATCTTTAGATGACCTTTTTAAAAAGTTTAAGGCAACAAATTTAAAAATATTGGATTTTTCTGGATTATCATTTATCTCTGATGATCATCTTGAAGTCATTATTAAACGGTGTGGTGGAAAATCAAAGGAATTATATTTGACTCATAGTTATTATTTTTCAAATGAAGTGGTTGAAAAGGCTCGAAATAGTTTCCGAAAAGTTATCTTTGTGAAGGATCAATCGTTATCAAACGAGTTTGATGACTTTGATGACTTTGATGAATACGATGACTTGATGTTGGATGAAATTCTAAGTTTGCAGATGGAAGATGAATTTATTTACGGGTGTTATGAAGATGATTACGGTGAACTATACGGTAGTTACTACGATGATAGTGATGGTGATGATGAGGAATTGTATTCAGACGACGAAAACAGTGGTTATGCTGATTCTGAAAACGATGATTATGATTCAGAACAAAGTGACTGCATTTGATATTTTTACTTTGTTAAGAACATTAATAGATACTATGATGATTACCAATGCTCTTTTTTCATAATATTGCTATATTATTTTTCATTTCATTATAAAAATAAAGTACAAACAAGCATTAGTTAGCTGTATCAATAAATTTTAAATTTAAACATGTATAAACTTGAGATATCAACTTAACGAAATTAATGTAAAGGCTAAAGTGGAATGTGGGTAAAAATCAATGCAGCTCTTTCAAAAAGTTTAATTAAAATCTAAATGTTACTAAATATGAATATAAAACGTTTCACATTAGTGTGAAGAAATATTTCGCCTAATTGAAAGAAATTTCGCTCGTAACCCTCTTTCAAATCCCTGAAGTCTGATTTCAAACAGTTATAATAATGTTAACATGTTTCTCCTAGAACAAATGCTTTAATTCAATCTTTCTTTTTTGGCTTGTTCGGTGCACTTTATTTTAAGCCAAAATAATGTAAATCTGTAAAGTTTTGCTGATATAATTAGTAAACTTCAAAGTTATGCGTATCATAAGACTCGTAAAACTCGAAATAAGCACGTAAATGTTCTTTAAGTTATTTTAATATTAATTTATAATTTAACAATAATGGGTTAAAAAAAATAATTCAATCATTTATTGTTTATTTTTAATTAAATCTACTGTTTTCAATATTTATTGCATATTTTTTTTATTAGTTTTTTTGTTTGAATTAAAAATTATGTATAAAAGTTAAAAGCTTATTATGTGAATTGTTTTTTTAAGCATTCTTTCTTGTAGATCTCTCAACTGAAAAATTGTAAAAAGTAAAAACATAGAAAACAAAAAGTGTACAAGAAAACAATACTCTACTGATCATCAAAAATTGCAAAAATTGAAAAAAGTAAAAAGTAAAAGAAATACCTATCCTGGAAGAAGAATTTAGAGTAGCTAACAAAAACAAAAGGCCAATAGATACAGAAACATCTAATAATACAAAAACAAATACCTACTACAGAAAAACAAAAAAAATAACAACAAACTAGTTCTTTAAGAATCTGGTTTCATTATAACAACCAAACAAACAACAATTAGATAACTATATTCCAATATACATTCCTAACTTTAACTCAAATATATACATTATGAATAAACAAAATAGTAAAACAGGTCCTGAATAAACAATAAATACTCAACAAAAAAAACATCATTACAACCCTCTCAAGACTTCTATACAATATCAAAATACATAAAAAAGTGAGCAATCTAATGTATCTCTGTCAAATAACAATACAATATTACATGTAAACTTTAATACAACAACAATTACTATAAATAGTAATAATAATACAAACACAACATTAACAGGTAATTATAACACAATAAACATCCTAGAAAGGAAATTACAACATGATATAATGCAAACATCTGACATAGATATGCAACAAGAAACTTACAATGAGGACATAGAAAATACAAATAACAAATTAGATGTAAGGAATGATAACAATCAATCTAAACTAATAGGCAATACAAGCATAACAATAATACAAATAGCTAACAATCAACAACAACTTACCTATAGTCAAGTATTAAAACAACATACAAATATAAATAAGATGACAACTAACAACCAAAATGTTTATGAAGTTACATAAAATTGATTAAAACATGTAATACAAAAACTAGACAACAATATTAAAAACCATTTTAATCATAACTCCTGACCAATTAATAAACTATTATAGTACTAAATAATAGTAAAAGAATCAAAGATTTTATTTCATACAAACTAAACATACAATCTATAAATCACCAAATACCTGTAACAATTTTTTTAAAATTTAAATATCATGACCCTACATTTTTTTTATTTTTTACTAATAATAAACAAATTAAACTAGTTCATTAAATAGAATTTGATGACCTTCTTTGAAATGTAATTAACAAATATAAAACACAACACAAAGTTATTTTAACAAACAAACAACTAAAAATCAAATTTAACTCAAACTTTGACAAAAATTAATCATTAAATATCTTACTAACCTAAACTTTAGAAATCTAAAATCTGGTCAAACAACACAAATTATAAAATAGTATAGAAACTTTATTAGAGCAATACCTATACAAGACAATTAACATATACAAGATACAGTATATCAAGCATATAAAGGAAAAAAGTAAGACCTACCAGATGTGCCTCAAAACATAAATACAGAAATAATGAGAATCTTATCATTTAAATTACCAATTAAGAAAAAATTATTAACAAGAGCAATAGCAACTATTCTTTATATTCTATTCAACTTTAAAACTCTGTTTGATATATACTTTATAATCTTATTTGAACTACCACAAAATGTTTCTAATCTAAAAACAGAACTAAAATAATACTTTCCAATTATTAATTCAAAACAACTAGCAAGTCTTAGCTATCTTAAAAATAAGTTAGCAGACCACTATAATTTTATAAGAGTACCCTCTAACTAACACACTGCTTTCAGAAAAAGAATTACTATTTACAACTTATTATCAACTAAACTGCCATATATGATCACTGTTTTTCTTTGATCCAGAAAATAACAAAATAATTGTATATTTTTTTTTTTTTTTTTTAACTTTGGCAGCCTTGCCGTAAACCTTTATTAAGATTCTTGTACATATGCTATATACATTTTAACTTAAATTTCTGGTTCGACATCCTCCGGCTGCTTCTTTGAGTGCCCAGAGGCGGTCTGCCGCACTGGTTGG